GTTCCTAAGCTTGATACTAATCTTCTTTCAGTCAGTAGTATTACCAAGCATATGAACTGCTCAGTAACCTTCTTCCCTGACCGATGTGTTTTTCAGGACTTGGAGACGAAGAAGGTGATTGGGACTGGTCATGAGACGAATGGGATCTATCTGCTCGGAGAGAGGTCTCGTTAGGAAGAGTCAGTAGAGAAGATGTCTTTTGTTTCTCAGAGTGTGAGTTCATTATTCTTACCGATTGGGTCATTTGTCCTTTCGGTCTCTAAAGAGTCTGTTTCCAGCTTTATTTGAGTCTATTGAGTTGTCTCAGTTGCAGTGTGAAAGTTGTGAGTTTGCTAAACATTGTAGAAAGTCTTATTTATTGAGTAATAAAAGGAGTAATAATTCTTTTGATTTTGTGCATATTGATGTTTGGGGGCCTTTTCACATCCCTTCCATGGGTGGGTACATATATTTYTTGTTATTTGTTGATGACCATACCCGTTTTTCTTGGGTTTATCTCATGCGTTCACGAGATGAGGTTCCTGCCCTGACCCAAAACTTTCACCAAATGATCCTAACCCAATTTGATGCCAAGATCAAAGTTCTTAGATCCGATAACGCAAAGGAATACTTTGCTAAACCATTGGCATCTTACCTTCTTAATCATGGGGTTATACACCAGAGCTCTTGCCCTCATACACCTCAGCAGAATGGAGTTGCAAAAAGGAAGATTAGGCACATCTTGGAGGTGGCTAGAAGTCTTATGTTTACCTCCAATGTCCCTATTCGCTTCTGGGGTAATGCTATCCTCACGGCGGTATATCTTATTAATCGGGTCCCTTCTTGAGTCCTTGATATGAGATCTCCTTTTTCCCTTCTATACCCAAGTGAGGAGTTGTTTTCTATTCCCCTTAAAACATTCGGTTGTACCTGCTTTGTTTAGCTTATCGGACCCCATCACTCCAACTTTGAACCCATGGCCTCCAAATGCATTTTCCTTGGTTATGCACAAACTCAAAAGGGTTATTGCTGCTATGATCCTGTCTCAGGGAGGAAGTTTGTCTCCATGGATGTCACTTTCTTTGAGGAGACACCCTATTGTCGTCGGGTTTTCTCCTTAGGGGGAGAGCAGTGAGAGTGGGGGTTTGAGTCTTTTTCTTCTGGGGGAGAGTAGTGAGAGTGGGGGTTTGAGTCCTTTTCTTCAGGGGGAGAGCAGTGAGAGTGAGGCAATTCCTTTACCTATTCCAGATGAGAGCTGCAATGGTGAGGGTGGTCAGAGGGATCAAGAGTTGAGGGTTTATCACAGGCGATGCAGGCAGGTTGATCCCGGTCATCAGCAGTTCAGGCCAGCTCCAATCTCATCTGCAACTCCAAGTCCAGGTATTACATTCCCAGGGCCCACAGAGACTTCCTCTATTGTTGCCATTTCACCTCCTGCAGATGACCTTGACCTTCCGATTGCCATCCGTAAAGGGAAACGACATTGTACCACATC